TGTTATATCTGTGGATGGCGTTTTCCATGGGTTTTTTTTAGTTATGGGATTTTACCTGGGGTTAAGACTCGCTGAAATGAGTCCATCATTAAAAATGTTCTGGATAAAAAGCATTTCCTGAACTTAATGACATAAAGTTCCGAGTCATATTTGTTGCCTCTCACCTTTGTATCCCTGGATGAAAATCAATTGATGGAGTAAGACATCAGTGCTGGGCATCCTCGTGCAGGTCTGGGAACAAACCAGGCTCCTGCACTGCCCTCACAGTCAGGGCAGAGCTGCCTTTTGTTGTCTGTGGCATTCAGAGGGTGATTCAGCTCCTCACAGAGACACATGTTGAGGTAAACACTGGACTTTCTCACAAGGGACCCGACTCTGTTGTCCTTAGAAAGTCCCCTGGTGTTGTTCCAGATGCTCAGAGGTATCCAGATATCCATGTAGGAACAATGGATGGCAAAATCGTAAAATCAGGGAATGGTTTGGGCTGCAAGGGATCTTAAAAATCATCCAATTCTACCCCTGCCATCAGCAGAGATGCTTTCTACCTCACCAGATTGCTCCAAGCCCTGTCCATCCTGGCCAGGAAAATTTCCAGGGATGGGTCAGACAAAATATCTCCAGGAAACTGTTCCAATGTCTCAGCACTATGATTCTGTGATCCCGTGATTCCATGACTCCATGATTCTATGATTCCATGATTCTATGATTCCATGTTTCCATGACTCTATGATTCCATGAATAGATGACTCCATGACTCTATGATTCCATGATTCTATGACTCCATGACTCCATGATTCCATGATTCCATGATTCCATGACTCCATGATTCCATGACTCCATGACTTTGTGATGCCATGATTCCATGATTCCATGACTCCATGATTCCATGATTCCATGAACTCCATGACTTTATGACTCCATGATTCCATGACTCCATGATTCCATGATTCCATGAACTCCATGACTTTATGACTCCATGATTCCATGACTCCATGATTCCATGACTCCATGATTCCATGATTCCATGATTCCATGATTCCATGACTCCGTAATTCCATGATTCCATGACTCCATGATTCTGTGTGAGATGCCAGCAAGATTCCCAGGGTGGGCTAAATTTGAAATAATTTTGTATTTGCAATGATTTTAAGGTCATACATTCCTATCAAAATCCCGGATGCTGATGTTCAATGACAGGGAATTGATAATTAGTGAAAGAAAGCATCTCTGGTATGTTCTGAGATGTATGCAAATGAATATGTAAATGAGAAGGCCTGGGTTAAAAGGGTTTTGTTTGAAGAATGTTTGTGTATGAATTCTGCAGACAACTTTCAAAATTTTTGGTCAAATTTCCTGTTAGACCAAAAAAGGTATATAAAAAAGGGGAGAAAAATTTCTAAACATTTCACTTTCTGAAACTGCTTTCAGGTTTTTAATCATGAAGTTTTTAACTGCTGCTTCTTAATTTTTTTCCAAAACAAGTCTGTCATTCTATGCAATAATTTTAGTGAGAATGATGAGAGCTGGAGCTTGAAGCATTAACCCATGCTAAGTGAGACTTCTCTAATTTTGAACTGATCATACAGTGAATGCATTTGATAGGGCTGAATGAAGTGAGATATCATTTGAGCTTTATTAATACACTCTATTAACAGAAATGCCACTTCTCTCTAATGTACTGATGATCAAGTGAGGTTTTTAAACAGTGTTCAAGCGTGCACAGATGGGTGCAGATGGTGCATGAAGCAATTCTAAGTGCATCAATCAACATCTTCAAGAGTGTTTGATACACAAGAAAACACACATTGCTGAGAATGCCTTTGGATTACCACAATTATGCACTAAAGTGAAGATTCCCAGTACGGCTCCTGTTATGCAAAGACTGAGTCAATCAGGCAGAACTGTTTCCTGTATCATTTAGGATTGCTATGAAATTCTCCATCTGGACCAAACAGAGGGAAAAATATGAAACAGCTGAAAAATATGATGTCCTTGCTTCCCTAATACCATGGAGGGGAATAGAAAAAGCGAAAGGTGAAATATCTATCAATGAAACAGTGAAGAAGTGACAATAAAAATTCACTTAGGAATGGAAGGAGGGGGTGAAAATTAATAGTGGAAGTCAGAAATCTGTATGTGTCCATCCATAAATTCCACATGGCATTAAGCCCTGTCAGGGAAGGTTTGGGTGGGATATTAGGAAAAGGTTCTTCACCAGAGGGTGGTTGGGCCCTGGAAAACCTCCCGAGGCAGGTGGCCACAGCACCAAGCCCAACAGAGATGAAGAAGCACTTGGACAACTCTCTCAGGCACAGGGTGGGATTTTTCATGTTTTCCTCTGCAGGGCCAGGGTTGGACTTGATGATCCAGTTCTGGATATTCTGTGATTCCATGATTCTATTACATTTAGGCAAGGCAGACATCACAGTCAGTGGTAGAACAAGTACAGATAGACAAGAGCATGGTACTACTGATAATTTTTCCATCTTTTACCTTGCATTTCAGGACAGGAGTCAAATTCTGATGTGATGGAGCCCCATGAAGAGTCCGTAGACTGACAGAATTGCCCTGAAGAGTTTCTAAGAGGTGCAATCATGAACTCACAGAAACACAGAATCATGGAATCATAGAAGAGTCACAGAATCACGGAATGGCCTGAGTTGGGAGGGACCTTAAAGTTCATCCAGTCCCACCCCTGCCATGGGCAGGGACATTTCCCACTATCCCAGGATGCTCCAAGCCCTGTCCAACCTGGCCTTGGACACTTCCAGGGATCCAGGGGCAGCCACAGCTGCTCTGGGCACCCTGTGCCAGGGCCTCCCCTCCCTCACAGGGAAGGATTTTTTCCTAAGATTCAATCTAAACCTACTCTCTGTCAGTTTAAAGCCATTCCCCCTTGTCCTGTCACTCCATGCTCTTGTAAACCATCTCTCTCCATCTTCATTCCAGGCTCCCTTCCGGCACTGCAAGGCCACAATGAGGTCACCCCAAATCTTCTCTTTTCCAGGCTGAACAATCCCAATTCCCTCAGTCTTTCCTCCCAGCAGGGCTGCTCCATCCCTCTGATCATCCTGGAGCCTCCTCTGGCCTGGCTCCAGGTGCTGCCTGTGCTGGGGACCCCGGAGAGCTGATGGTAAAGCTGTGCACGCACATGAGAATACCAGCAAGGGTGAGGAATTTACTGCTCTCACGGAGCATTGATCCTGCTTCTTGCCTTTGGGATAAATGCTGCATCCCTGAGGAGCTGATGGCCAGCTCAGCCTTACTGCACACGTGAATAATGCTCTTTCCAGGGAGGAACACAATGGGTATCAGTAATTCAGAGGGAGCTGCTGATTCCAGCCTCTCCTGCACTACACCTGGAGTGGATCCATCATCCCAAAGGGAATCTCCATCTGACCAGACCAGACTGCTCTCTGAGGAGGAGAGGAGCCTGCATCTCCGACCTGACCTTTATTCCTGCTGCTGTTTACTCACAAGAAGGAACTGCAGGACAGAGATCTTCAGTGTCCAAGAGGAAAGGTTAAAGGGAAACAATGGACCGTAAATTTGGATGTGGAATTGAAATGCAGCAGCTGAAAAGGAAATATGTGTTTAGATGTTGAGGTGCAGACAAGAAAAATATGTTTGGTTTGAAAGAGAATGAGAAATCCAGTGTGGTGAAAGCCAGCACTAAATTTGAGAAACAAACATAATATAACCATACCAGCACTGCAGATGAATCATGGAATAATTTGGATTATAGGAATTCACTTTTGCCTGAAGTTTATCCAAATTTGTAAATCTCTGAATTAAACCTCTTTATCAGCTTGAAAAAATGTTTACCCAGCAAGTGTTTGAAGGGCATGAGTACTTTGCTAATGCTTTATTTTAGATCTGGACAACTTTTTGATCACCTTTACATTTCCAAAATGAAACCCAGCACTGGGTGAAAACCAAGTTTCTCTCTCTCTTTCTAATTTTTCAAAGAGTATTGTCTCCAAGTCTTCGGATTTATGTCACTGGCTTTATTAATTGAGTGGGTTTTTTACTCCTGAATCTTCGTTCCAGGCTTAAAGAACTCTCAGGATGGTTGCATTTGAGATTCTTGAGGGGAAAATAAAGGACCAGAAAAGGGAGAAAAGTGAAAGAAGTTTAAAAAACATATTGTAGGGAATTGCATTTATGGGAGGGCAAATATATGTGAATTTCCCATGTGAATATATGATGAATTAAAAAAATAATGCAAATTTTGGCAAGTATTTAAACTCTCTACACCAAGCTCTTACATTCTGGGGCTCACAAGTGATGTGAGTTTTCAAATTTGCCTGCTGAATTTTCCTGTAGTATTCTGGGAATATTTAGATTAGGCAAGAAGTTGCCATTCAAGACCATTATCTCCAAGAAGCACCTTCCAGAGTTTCTCATTTTCTCCAGAAACAGGATAAATTCTGTCTTGGGAGACATGACTGAATTCAATGACACACCCACAGGAACTGTGCAGGTTTTCTAACTGTGTGTGTTATTTGAAGCACCAAAGCAGACAGATTTTGAGGCAAAGAGCAATTTCTCTGCTGGGTGCTCCACAGGAGGCCAGAGGAGGGAGTGAGACACTCACAGGGGAAGAACCTTTTTGAAAATCAGTTAATCACCAGAAACCCTTTGGGTTTGGTGCAGATTCACCCACTGACTCCAGACTTGGAATTTATGTGAAGGGCTTAGGGTTATATTATATTAACAAGTAAAACTCACTGGGCATTGCTTTTTGTCCCTCACTCACCTCCCACATGCCCAAACTCCTGAACCCTCCACAAGGAGAAACCCCCAAAGGTGACAGGAATATTCCTGCTGCAGGGACCTGGTTTTGTCCAGCTGATATTTCTGGGAGAATGGAGAGAAGCCCTGGGAGCAGATTTGCTGCTCCACCTCTGGAGCCGAGCAGCACAGCTGGAGTTGAGCTATTGCCTCACCAAAGCACACAGCTTCCATTTATCACCCAAGCACAGCCATCCCCTGTCTGAGCCCGGCTAGCTCAGTCGGGAGAGCATGGGATTCTTAATTCCAGGGTCGTGGATTCGAGCCCCATGTTGGGCGCCATTTGTCTCGTTAAGGACTTTTGGGTTAGGTTCTTTTTCCCTTTGAACTGAAGGTTGGAGGCTAGTTTCTCTTGTTCGGTCTCAGTTGTTTATTCTTTTCTTATCAGCATTACAAGGTACAAGGAGCTATGTGCACTATGATAGAAAAGGGGTAAAATCACTAACAAAGAGCCTCTTCAAGGTCTTTTATATGTCCATTTACCCAATTAACAGATGCCAACTAAATTATTTTTCTTAGTGACCCAATGACCCAACACCTGTGTGCTGCACTGCGGCATTTTTTACCCAATCACTTACTACCACCCAAAAACCCCTAGGAGAAGAACATGAAGAAGAAAGAAGAAGGACACAAGACAACACCCTAAATCCTCCATCTTGTCTTCTGCTCTCTAAACTACCTTAAACTCTAAACTTCAACCCATTCAGCCAGTGACTCAAGGAACTTTCTAATTCGCACACTTACATTTTCAGTCTTTTCTACTTAACTCTAACCGTTGTCTCCATGGTGCTATGTGAAACTCAGTGCTTTCTTGGGTGTCAGAGTTAGGCATTACAGATAAAGGTATATATCTTGCATCTCTGACCCCAACATCCCCCGAGTGAGCCTCTTCATCAGGGTAACCTCTTGGGGCTCATTATTCCCCTGACAGCCTGGGAAAACAACTTCCCTGCCTGCTCAGGGTGGGAAGTGCCTTCCTGCTGGATTAGTCAATCAGTACATTAAGGCTGACATTCATCTTCCTTCAGAGTAAAAATATTCCACAGAGTAAACATATTCAGCTACAGCATATCCAAATATTCAACTGCAGCACAGCCACCTGGGCTTCAATTATTCCCTTAGCAGAACAACCATTTCAGGTTATGATTAGTCTGATATTAGACATTTATTGAAAAACCATCAATATCACAGGTCAGATCCCCACTGACTGAAAATTCTTGTCCAGGTGAAAAGCTGGAAGCAGATATTGCCTGAGGTCCCTTCCAACCCAAGCTGTTTTATGATTCTATGATGATGACCTCTTCAGTGCAATATGGCTAAATTTATCCAAATAAATTTATTTAAATAACATATTTTTTAGTTGTTCTTTTTTACCACTAAAACACAAAATAATCACCTTTTCCTGGAGTTTTTTTACCACTGTAGGCTGTTTATCAGAGGACAGGGTTCCACTCTAACCCAAGAATCAGTCAGCCACAAATAAATTATCATGAGGAAGCTTTGAGCTAAGTTATCAAAATCCTCACTGGAGCAACTGTGGAGCTGTTATCTCTGCTGATTCAGCTATGGATAAGCAAGTTTTAGCAGAGGAATTGTAACAAGAAGCTCCAGGGTGGAAGTTTTTCCTTCAGTACCTACTTACAGGAAGGAGAATGGAACAACTCCCTGTAATATCCAGCCAGTGGAACCACAGGGCTTTAAAAAAGCTGAGCATAAAACTTTTCTCTTTATCCTTTTAAATATTTTTTTTTTGTTTTAGTTCTTCATAATTTCTTTCATATTTCAGTTTTGTTCCAGACCCACAGAAGATGCATTTTCTCCATTCATTGCTTGAAGAAAATGATACTGAGATGTTCTCTTTCTAAACAGAATATTTGGTGTCATGAATAAATTACTTCCCCCCCTCAAAAAATCTAAACAAGAAAGGAATGTATGAATCAAGAAGGAATAGCAGAATGAGTGCTGTGCTTCTTGGGGGCCCCTAAACACAAATAGGAATTATTAAATATTAAATATATATTAAAATAAATATTTAAATTATTTAATTATTTAGCATTAATGTTGTAACAGGGTTCATTTAGTGCTTGTGATCCTTAATTTTGTAAATCCTCAGTCATTCTGTTAAAGTTTTGCTATTTTTTAGACAAATTCCTCTGGACTCTGGTTTTTTGGTGTGTAAAATGCTCCTCTGGGAAACCTGTGCCAGGGCCTCACCATTTTTGAGGGGAAGAATTTCTTCCTAAAATCAATATATTCTTGATTGCAAGAAGTTTTTTCTGTTCCTCACTTGCTGCACTGAGCAGGTTCTACTGAGATGTCAGGCACTCTCTGTATTTAATGTTTAGGTTTGGGTGCTAAAAATCCTGTTTTACACATTCATGAGAGATTTATGCTGCCACTACTTCATTTATTTATGGGCGCATCTCTGTGAGGAATCAGATCAGATCAGATGCTGTTCTTTGCTTTGCTGGTACATTATCCTGGGTTATTCTGATTGCAAATTCTATTGATGTAATTTTTCAGATTCAGTGGATAGTGAACTGGCTTTTTGAGAATTACTAATACCCTCTTCTTTTTGATCTACTTTTTCTTTTTTTTTTTGTTTTGTTTTGGTTGTTTCATTTTGTTTTGTAGTTCTTGAAAGATGATTAAGATCCTCACTTTCAAATGTGTTTTCTACTGATGAACTGTTCATGCATGACTAACTTTAATTTTCTGAGGTCCATTTCCTGTAGATTCTGGTAATCTAAACAAAGCAAGGCTTGAGGAAAACCAGTCAGCCTCTTCTTCCAATATGTAATAAATCCTGAAACTCGATTTTTCAGTTAGAGCTCTATCAAGTCTGGATAAACTCCACCAAATCCCTTCCAGAAGCCTTGTAACCCACAGCTCCTGGTTATATCTGTGTGATCCCATTTGGCCCAGTTTGGTGCAGCAGATGCTGGGAATATAATTTTGAGCTGTGTGAGGAGGTCTGGGTGTTAAAACCATGTGGGAGAAGTTAAATTTTTGAGCCAGTGGTACGCAGGCATTCCAGGACTGAAAGGAATGGATGTGAGGAGAATTATAAATATATATATATATATAATAAAATCATCAGGGAAAAAGCAGAGAACTGAAAGATGGCAAATCAACAGGACAAAGGAGCAAACAGGCCTGGCTGGCAGAATGCCATTTTTAGGGTTATTCATGCATTAATCTTTCAGTTGGTAGAGAGGGGATCCTTGCTCTCCAAAGTTTGTGTCAGCCAGTAAATATTAACTGTGTGCTTCTCTCCTCTTGATGCTCTGCTCATACACTGTGTTTGTGCATGGTAGGAAATACCCAACAAACCTGAACTCCAGAGCTGGGATTTGGGGGATGAGGGCAGCCTCGTGCCAGGCACCAGCATCATGTCCAATAACTGTTGGAAATGTCTAAGCAAAGGATGAAAAAACAAAAAAAAATAAATAAATTAATGGCTTTAAACTAAAAGTGAATAGGTTTAGATGGTTTAGATTAGAGATTAGGAAGAAATTCTTCCCTGTGACGGTGGGGAGGCCCTGACACAGGGTGCCCAGAGAAGCTGTGGCTGCCCCTGGATCCCTGGGGGTGTCCAAGGCCAGGTTGGACAGAGCTTGGAGCATCCTGGGATAGTGGAAGATGTCCCTGCCATGGCAGGGGTTGGAATGTGGTGATCTTTAAAGTCCCTTCCAACCTAAGCCATTCCATGAGTCTATGAATATTTGCAGGAATGCCTGACTCAGGTGTTTTTTCCTGACAAGGAAGCATTTGTTGTATTGATTTTTTTGACTGACACTTTATAAACTTCAATAAGAAGCACAGCCCTGTAAATCCGTGCTCCTCTTGAAAAGATGAAGTTCATTTGGCAGAACAGCCCATATTTTTCATGTCTGTGAAGAGTTACACGTGCAATCCAAAAAAAAAGGTGATATTTTGCTTTGTGCTTTTTGATCAAAAAGTCTTACTCTGCTGAGGATTTTAGAGCACACCTGATAAAATCCATTATCTGTTTTATCCTGCTTCAGTGCTGATCAAAAGCCTCTGTCAATTGACAATAGCGAGGCCATCTGCCGCTTTGAAAACCTGCATTTTTCATGAAAGGAACAAAATCAACCTCTTTTGCCCCTGTAAGGACGTAAAAAACCACAGACAACTCTTCCCATACATGAAACATAAAGCTTGTGAGTAGCACACGGGCAACCCATCATTCCCATTATCTCAAGGGAAGAATGGAGTACAGGGAGGTGAAGGAACTGATGAGCATCAGCCTCTGACCTGGGGCAGGGAAAGAGCCTGAGTGTCTTAGAGAGAGTCTTTGTGCCAAGGGTTCACAGCTTTGTCAGTGACAAACTGATCACACTTTTGCTTTCCTGGAAGGAAGCTGAACTTCAGCTCCCCCGCTGAAATTCAACTTCTTTTGTTAGAACTAAAAAATGGGACTGAATAAAGGCTGAAACTCCAGACACTCATGATTACCTCAAACTTTGGCAACTTTTGTTCCTGTCCTTCACTCTTTTATCAACAGCAGAATTCTCGGAACTCTAAATAGTAATGATGGTTTTGGGTTATTTCAGCTGTTTAGTGCTTTTTTTTTCTTTTTTTAACAAAGACTATAAGCATGAACACTTTATTTTTGTCCTTCTGCACCTTCTACCAAGTGTGCTCTTCTTGCTGTGCTTAGCAGATATGTATTTTTCAGTAGCACTTTTTTTCTTCTTTTCTCAGCATTTTGAAAAGATCACAAATCACTGAGGACTAGATCTTAGCAAAAGACTTTGTCCTGCTACAGGGCTGGAAGGTGCCTGAAGGTTATGTGGAGTTAACACCCCTGGGTGTCTCTGAGCAATTCTTTCTCTAAATTCAGTGGGGCTGGTGAAGGAGCAGGTCGGGCTGCTGGGTCCCTGAACATAAATACAGAACACATCCACACTCAACACAGCTGCACTTTCAGCATCTTTGTTGTGCAATTTCATGTTGAACTAAGAGATTTAAGCCCAGCACATTTCAGGTTGTAGTGGTGACCTTTAACGCTTATGAGTAGCTTTATATCTCCAGATCATTTTAGGTATTGGTGTTGGACTCGAGTATGAGCTAAGCAGAGCACATTAAATCCCTTCACCATGAAAACATTAAAGTTTTGGATGCTAAAATACACAGGTGGATCTAATGCTCCAAAGCATCTGGCAGACGTTGTGTGATAGATGAATAATCCTTTACTGCAGCCCACACAGTGCTGCCATCTCTTTATTTATTTATATAGAGGTGGAATTTATTCA